GAGGGCTATCACATTGTTGAATTTTAAGATGCTGAAAGGCGTCTTCGCTTTGTTCTTACCTTAACTCTAATTTAATCCCACTGTATGATTAACAGAATATGGGATTTCTTTAGACACCTGTTGTAACAACAAAGGGAAAAATAAAACACTCTGTAGTTGTTTTTGGACCAAAGAGTTCCAGGGACTTTTCCAAAGGCTTATTTTTGGGCTTTTTGTGTCTTTATTGGAGAGATAGGACAGTGGATAGAGTCTGAACTCAGGGAGAGAGAGAGAGAGTGGGGAACTTCATGTGGGAAAGGAGCCACAGGTTGGATTCAAACCCAGGCTGCCCGCTTGGCGGACTTCAGCCTCCACACATGGGGCAAGCGTACTAACCACTGCACTCGGGGCGTCGCCTCGGAGGACTTTCTGAAGAGGAACTATCCACTAGGGAGTTCCCTGAGAACCAAACATCATGGGGACTTTTTCTCTGTCTGAATTCGCACCGCTTTTGTGCTAGAAGAGTATCTACTCTGAAGCAGGAGCTAAAAAGGTTCCCCTAAACAGGGTTCTAGGGACTTAAAGAGTTGTATCGGCATTTTACGACCGCAAAAACTTTCTGGTAGTTCTAGGAACCGTTGGAACCCTCCCCCCCCCTTTTATATTGATTCTGTGCCACAGGAACACTTAGCTACTAGAACTTTGTTTAGAGGAACCTTTTAATCACCTGCAGAGTAGGTACCATGGCGGTCAAATGTGGACTTTAAGACCCCATGGTGGATAGTTCCTCTTCAAAAACTCCCCAGAACTGTTTGGTCTGAAGACACCTATTGTTCCCGCGGTTGCAGATTCACTAAAAAAAAGGTGAAGGATTCAAGCAGTTCCTAGAGCTCATGTGGTCCGAAAACAGCATCACCTATGAAAATGTTTTAATCTCCCCAAGAGAAATCTTGGTTGGTAAACTGCTCTCTTTGATCCACTTTGTGTTTGTGTTTTCTTCTTGGCAGGCAGAGGTCATCACTTGTGAGCTAAGTCATCGACCTAACGGTACATTTAGGAATATGTCTTGGGCGGGGACAGGGAGGAAACTTTCTAATTTTCTTAATTTGTTAGCAAGCAAATATGAGCCATTCACATCCTGTTGTGCTTGAGTGAAGACATGAAGAAAAGTGGGTTGCATTAATTGTTTTGTAAACAAAAAAAACAAACAGATTTGGTCCCTCACCGGCGTGAAGGCTTGATGGTCTCGATTCTTTTTGTGTTGTTTTTGTAGTTGTTGGTGTTGTTGGTTGTCATTCCCACCTCCAAGCTATGATCGCTCGTCTTGGTCTTTGACGCTTCTGGGTGACCTGCTTCTGCTGAGCCATGTTGCAGAGAACCCTCTGGCTTTTTTTCCTCCAGCATGACCCAAAAATACACATAGAGGTGCACGCTAAACACTCAATAATACACACTCACACACAAACACTTCGGTCTAAATGTGAGTCAGTCTCATTTTGGGTTCAGAAGGAAGCTACTTCCAAATCCAACAACAAATCCCAAATTTTAGAAGAGAAATGTGGAAAAAAAAAAAGGATCCTGGTATTTCCCAGGTTCAATAAAACAAAAAAACTTCAAATCCAAAGAGAAATTTTATCCAAAAACACATCCAGAAGAAACAATTCAAGAAGGTGATAGATCAACTTCTGCAGAGTAACAAGAGAATAAGAAGAATAGACAAAACGAAGCGGATGATATTCCCAGATCCAAAAAGTTCCAAAAGTGTTCCAGTATTCCTGTTTCCCAGAAAGTGAAGGTGTTTCAGACCCCAGGTGTTCTTGAGCTCAAGCCCTGAGAGGCTCAGAGGGATAAGAGCAGCAAAGAGACTGAGCGACAAATCAGGAGAAATGCTGCATGGGCGCTACAGCCGTCCCTCTGAGCCAGCAGCTGGAGGGCGAGCAAGACAGAGGAAGAGAGAGAGAGAGAGAGAGAGAGAGAGAGAGAGGGAAGGGGGAGAGCAAGCACTTAAGTCTTGAGGGCAAGAGAAGAAAGGAAACGAGGATAGACATGTCTACTAGTTTTTGTAGGATATATCTCATGAGAAAGTTGTTTACATTTTTCAACAACCAAGCTGACTGATGAGATCGTACCGGTTCAGACTTTCCATTAAAAGAACCTACTGGGAGGGCAGATTGCGTAGCGGTTATGATGCATTCCCCCATGTACAGTTCAGAGGCAAAAGTCCTTAACCCAGCAGCCTTGGGTTTGAATCCGACCCCGGCCCTTTGCTGTATATTATCAGACGCTAAGAGCTATATAATAACTACCACATCAGCAGATTGTTTTGCCGTCGATGTTGAAGACAAATAAGACGTCAAGTCGGGCACCTCATTCTTTCCAGAATTTCCGAGTTGTTGTTGTTCCGACTTGAATAGGAGTTCATGTGCATTTAAGAACTCGGAAACTGTGTTTTCCCGATGTGTCCGAGTGTTTCCAAACACCATGTATGCACCACCAGACGGACAAAGGAAGAGGAAGCACACGGGAAAACAGGATCACATCCAGAGCCGTGACAAAATCTGTATTTAACATCATCTTTATAATGTAATCCATATCCAGACAGAGTAACATAAGCCCTAAAATAAAGTGCTAAACCCTCTTCCTGCGAATACAAATGTGCATTAAAGAGGTCTTTCTCGAGCTTAGAAGCACAAATTGATAAACAATCACGTTATAAAACACTTCCGGATTTCTTCATTATATTTAGACACACAAGCAGACCCGCACTACGAGCGTTATGGCAGCTCTCCACTTCACAGACTGCTGACTCAACAGTTTCTCAAAAGGTGATGATGAATATTTTTATTGAAGGATTATTCTCTGTTGGGTATTGCAGCAAATTAATAATATATCCCCTTTTATCCCCTCCCCCAGACCACAGGGCTTAACACCCGACCACCACACAACAGCTGACTGGCAGCACCGAGGCTGTGTGTGTGTGTGTGTGTGTGTGTGTGTGTGTGTGTGTGTGTCTGGAAGGAGAAGTTGAGCCATGAGACGGTCGGTTTTATATTCAGCTGTCATCGCTACCCTCACTGAGGTTTGGTCTGACAGCGATGATGTCACCATGCAGGACACACACACACACACATGTCCGGACACATGTGCAGATAAAGACATAAATTAACTTTCCATTTGTCAATAATTTGACATTTACTTGCTAAACTTTGTAGAAAAGAATGAAGATAATTGAACACGTTATCAGGGCCTGAGCTTAAGTAAGAATACAAAAAATGAACTCGCATTTCTCCAATTGACCACGGCCTTTGAGCCTGTCATGAACCTGTAAATCTTCATGCACAATTGAAGTTACTTACCATATATGTATCTTCCTGGTCGCTCCTGGGATCTCTCGTCTTGTAGGTTCATCTGGATCGTTGGTGGGGACGGCCTGCTGCTGACTCCAACTGCTACAGCTATTAAAATCAGCCTTACATCTTTTAAAATTAATGTACATAAAGTGAATCTTAGGGCGCACTCACACTAGGCAATCCAAACCTGTCCTAAGAACTCTTCAGCCAGTCTATAGGACATAGGACAAACAGAGTTTGAACATTTTCTGTCAGTATTCTTACATATATTTTTGTGAGTGTGACTTCTGTTTTGTTTTTTGTTTGTTTCATTTTGAAATAAATTCTTGGAACAATTTTTGTTCTGATATGTTTTGTTTTTTTATAACCAAACTAGTAGTGTCTTAAATAATATGATTTATAACAAGGGTAGGTGTAATAAGATAAAGCTTCAGCCTACACCTTTCGGCCAAAATGTTTTTTTAGTAGTAGAAATAAATTACTACTTCTCCTACTATATATTTCCCTATACTGACTTCTGAACCCTAAACACTAAATATTCTGAAATTATGAACAAAAACAAGGGATAAATGTTGTACTTTTAACCTTGAATTGTGAAAAAAAGAAAGACAGATTTGAGCCATAGCACGTTGTTAAAAGTATTACTTTGTTTCACAATATACAAAAAAAAAAACAAGCGTAATAATATTGACAAAACCCCATACAGTAAGTAGTACATCAGTACAGTGTAGTGCAACATGTTTCACAGTCAGCAGGTACATTAATCAGCCACAAGGGGGAAGCAACAGCTCGGATGATTCTATACAGTCCAAAATTCATCGACATCCACTGAATGTATTTACAGATTAACAGAGAGAGAGAGAGAGAGAAACACTCGGAGAGCTTTTAGAAGTGTGTCAGTTCATTCAGTTGAATTTCAATAATGTTGATGTGAAATGTGTGTGTGTGTGTGTGTGTGCTTCAAGTGGTTTACTGCATATTAGTGACTCAAACATGTTTAACTGTTTATGAAGAGTTTACTTCTGACTTCTTGTTTAAGAATTGTACTCATTTCCAGTCAACTCCAGAAAAGCTTTAATTATGTTTTTTTCAGTTTATCAGTTTATCTTTCTTGAATTAAAGGTCACATATCCTCCTCCTCTTCTTCTTCAGTGTAAATAAGTTCTCAGAGCTCCTCAAAACATGTGTGTGAAGTTTCTTGTTCTAAATCCACTCTGATCCTGTATTTGATCATGTCTATAAACCCCTCTATTTCAGCCCTGCTCAGAACAGGCTGTTTCTGTGTCTGTACCTTTAAATATGTAAATGAGCTGTGTCTGACCACGCCCCCTCTCTGGAAGGGCTTGGGTGTACTCGGTGCTTTCTCTCTCCATGTCCTATTTTTTACGGTGAGAAGGCAGACTCAGAGGGCAGAACAAACACCTAGCTGGGGGAGTGTCACCCACCTGGGGGAGGGGCTACTGCCTTTGTGATGTCATGACGGGAAAATCTCCAAACGGCCTGTTTGAGCACATATTTTCTGAAAAGTGGAGCAGGCAGAAGACGGAGAGGATGGACTTTTCTCATCATTGGGGGGTTTGTAGACGGACTAGAGACACATGTTAGAGTTAGAGGAACATGGTGAAGTGGATTTTGAATCATATGTGACCTTTAAACAAAAAAGATTTCATATTTTTTTTAAATGCCCAGTGAGAAGCTGCTAGATGCTGACATTTACAAAACTTTAAAAAAAAACAACAACAAAGAAAATGATGCCACTTTCCCCAAACTAATGCCCATCTAGTTTGATTAATAAATATCCTCAAATAATCACATTTCCCCCTTCAGATAATTCATATTAATGTCTGATGTAAGCATGTATTATGATAGACTGAAGAAAAGCCTGTCTGTGTGAATAAAACATTAACAGCAGTTACTTTGATTTCATCCTCCATTAAATCATCACATTAAAACAACAAAGCCCCAAAACACACACGTGGCTCTTTGTTTAAACGGTATAATATTTTCATTTTGACTACATGAGGTCTTTGAGATGTTTTGACTTCTTTGTGGTTACATTTTGATCACAGACTGATCCAATGAATCATTTTATAAATCCATCAAATCAGATTTTTATTTTCAGATTCACCCGTTAAAGGAACAGTTCAACATTTCTGTCTTCATCTCAAATCTCCTTCCTTTTTATATTTATCTTCTCTCTGCAAACATTCAACCTACCGTCCTCAGTTTGTAAAAGTGAAGAAGAAGAAATCATAGACTCGAGCTCTCTTTGACGCCGGGAAGCTCATAAAAAATGGTTAATCCAATATGGCGTTAACGTGGAGATTTATTTTTTGCATCTTCTGTTTTATTCTCTCTTTACTCAAATTGGTTTTGTTCCTCTCTCTCCATTTTTCATGAATTTATGATGATTTTTTTGTTCTGTTCTTCTCCACAATGACGCCGTGTTGGCCTTTTCTTTTCATTACCCCAACACTCTCACCTTCCTTTCCTTCCTTCCTTCCTTCATCCACACTTGTCTTTCTCCCTCACTCTGTCTCTTATGTCATGCTGGATATGGGGTCGCTGATTTTCAGACACCTCCAGTAGAGGGTTCTTGCAAAGGTGAAGAGAAGGAGCAGGATCAGAAGCACCCAGGAAACGTAGATCCCTTTGGACTGCTGCGCGTGACTCCATGTTCCAAACTGAAGGACACAAAGAGACACACGTGTGAGATGCAGAGAAATCTGGGGGGGAGGGGTCACTTGTCTCGTGGTTCTCTATCATGACCGTCTTGTATTTCTAGCGTATATCGTTCATTACTTTGTATCACATGACCTGTCAGGTGACGTCAGGACTTAATGAGACATCAGTTGAAAGACTTCAGCAGGTAGACCCAGCTGTAAAGGTGACGCTAACTCTATGCTCAACTGACGCCGAGCACACAGCCTATCATTGTAAACACTGACACCCGCTCTGACACGAGGCGGCAGATTCAGTGAGTGTGCAGGACCGCCTGGCTTAAAAGTCAGAGCAGAAACAAGCAGGAGACCTGGATTCATGTCGTTTGTTACTTTTACTTACCCACCACAGGGGTCTGCTAGGTTGAGCATACTCACCGACCACCGCAAAAAAAATAAAAATAACCCACCCATATTTGGCTAAATTTCCCAACCCTGCTTCCCACACACTCAAAGACACTCACTATGAGTCCTGCAGTGGAGGCGGCAAGGACGATGAACAGCATGAAGCACAGCAGGCTCCTCCTCCTCGGGTACCGCCGACCAATAGAGGAGCTGGAAATGAAACCAGAAAATGTTACGGATGGCAAAAAAAAAGAAAAAGAAAGACGCACAAAAACATAAAACGGCTGTTTCTGTTCTTACACTTTTCGGCAGTGTGGACACCGGGCCAAGGTTCGGTCTGAAAACTCTGTCCACTGAAAGACAGAGAGTGAAGCGTTAATGTGTGTGTGTGTCGGGTTGGACACTGAGTGTGTGTGTGTGTGTGTGTGTGTGTGTGTGTGTGTGTGTGTGACCTACCAGGAATGTGTTGGTGCAGTGCCCACAGATGATCCTGACGCCGACGGGCTGACGCTGCGGTTCAGGACTGTCCCTGCCGATGTGGACCGGTCCCAGGTTGATGACGCGTTTACTGACACAAAAGCAGAGATGTTGTTTGTTTTAATTTTTTTAAACTGATTGTTGTTTCACTTCAATGTCACGTAGATTTCTGGTCACAAACAACCTGACCACTTCCACATCAGCTTTTTCTGATCCTAGAGAAGTGAGAGACACCACTAGCTCCTGACATGTCTTCATCTCATAAATGGATCAAATGACTGCAGTGAACATTTCTACTGACTCTACCTTTAAATATTTTGCATTTTATAAACAGAAGAAAAATAATCTAATCAATCTCAAATCTTTTGAAACCTCTGCTGAATGTTTTGGAGTCTTTGAGTTCAGACGAATCTCCTCTGCTTTCTTTTCAACAGAAATTGTAAATATTTGAGTCTTTTAAGGCCAAGAGAACAAGAGCTCTGCTGATATTCACTGAATTAAGGACCAGAGATGATGAGACAGGGTCCAACTGAATCAGATCTCTGTGCGTACACGATTACATTTGTCACTTCAAAGCAGAGTCCCAAATCGACACAAGATTGTTTTAACTCAAAAAGTGAGAGTGGATACTAAAATAAAAATCCCTCTAGATGATTTTATTGTAGGAGAACTCTTCTCTTATGGAGCGTTTAAATTCAAAGCACCGTGATAAACATCTTTTGGCCGGCTGCAACAGGCAGATTTGAAAACAACACTTTCTCATCTGTGAATGTGAATGAGAACAGATGGAGCGATTAAGAGCCAAAAAAGCTGAGACATGAGGGGGGGGGGAAATAAGCCCGCTCTGTTTCCTCCTTCTCACCAGTACGGTCTGGGACAGGCGATCCTCTGCGACGTGACTTTGCAGATCAGCAGACAGTTACACGGACAGCGGACGTACTTCTTCCCGACGGGGGCGTTCTTTATGGGCTGCAGAGACACAAAAGAAGGAAAGGATAAGAAACCCAAAAAGACTTAAGTTTTAGCTTTAGAGTTTCATCAGGAGGGGGGGGGATGGGAAGACTTCCTGAGACAGGAAACTGTCCGGATGGTGAAATGTGTCTTTCAGCTTAAAATAAATGCTGATTTAGCGTTTCTGACTGAGATGCACTGATGCATGTTCAACATTGTTAGCAGCACCAGTAGCAGCTGATTCAGAGAAAAGGTTTTTGATTGGGCAGATGATGATGTCACTATGGATAAAATGCAACATCATCAAACGCAGGTTGAGACATTTTTGATGTTTTTAGGGGCCCAGAGACTGATGTAGTTTCTGCCTGAACCCCCCCCCCCCCCTCTCTACAGTGCATGACTCACCGTGGCTTCGTTACAGATGCTGCACTTCACCACGTGTTGGTGCGTCTTGCCCTCCACAGAGATGGCGCTCTGACAGACCCGACAGCTGATGACCGGAGCGCTGCTGCTGTCCGGGCTGCCCTGCGGCGAGTACGGGGGCGGAGGCTCGCCGGGTACTAATGCGCTGGGGAACGGCGCCAAACCTGGTGGGAAAGAGGAAACATGAAGAATGAATAAATGTGAAAAGGTTACGGTGATAATAACATGATTTCAATGAAGGTTGTATCACAATATGTGTGTTTGTTGTTCTTGGGGAGTTTTTCTATAAAGCGTGCTCACAGAGGAGAGTGTGCAGGATCAGATTACAACTTGAATGTGTAGTAGAGCATTTTTATAGAGGCGCACAGCGTACAGACAGTCAGTCGTCGAGTAGCTTTAACGCTCATACAGTGAGTGAAACTTGTTGTTCCTCCCTGTGGTTATCTGATTGTGAGACTCGTATCTGTGCTACGTTGAAATCCCCTTCACGCAAATGATCGACCTACAGTGAGTCATGTGCTGATAATCAAATACTGTGGAAAGACTTGATCAGTTACAACATGATGCTTATCTGTTAGCAACACACCAGCAGGTCTTAATCGATGAGATGAAGCAGTTAAAAAGAAACTATTTGCAACTAAAAATATATAAGATAAGATAAGATAATCCTTTATTTATCCCACAATGGGGAAATTTACAGTGTTACAGCAGCAAAGAGCAAAGATTGCAGACAAAAAGTGAACACAGTACAATTTAAATTAAAAAAAAGAAAAATTAAGAATGTACAAAAAAAAAAATAGATTTAAAAAATAAAATGGAAGGAAAGAGAAAATATGAAATAGAAATGTTTTGACTAATATAAACAGGAAATGTCGATTATGAAAGTAAAGCAGAGTGTGGTTTTAAAACTACAACAACGATGCAAACCACCTACAAACCGGTGTTGCGGTATAAAGCGTGACCGTGTTAACTGGTGACCTCTAGTAAGCTCAGTGGTTTATGCCTATTTGTTTATTTACTACTATAAAGTCAGAAATAGTAACAAGATATCCACTGAATAAACAAAAAAAAACAGGCACTCTGTAGGACACTTTCCACTTTCTAAATCTGGTGTAACTACGACAACGACACCAGTTAGCACGGTCACAATTTTCATCGTAACACCACTCCCATTAATAAGTTATAATCGTTCGTTTTTGCATCGTAACTTCAGTTTCTATGCTACTGACATGACTGTAAAATGTGTGATATCACTCTGACTACAATGCGGACGCCTACACACCTTGATAATCTTAATTTAATCGTGTTTAAACTTAATTTTCACTCACACAAACGAGGCTAAATACGTCAGCTAACGGCTAGCTACGCTAAGTGACGCTTGGTGTGCGTGTGCGTGTGTGTGCGTGTGTGTGTGTGTGTGTGTGTGTGTGTGTAGGGGACAGGTGACAGGTGACAGGTGACATACTCTGCGGTTTTGACAGATATCCGTGCGAGCCGCCTCCGGGAGAGAAGCCGTTGGTCCCGTCGTGCTGCTCGGATAGCAGCGGCGACCGTTCCCCGTCCGACATCACTCCCAACGGACCCCGGGCCTGTTTCTGTATTTTAAACCTCAGAAGGAGACTTTGCTGCGGCGGCTGGAAGAGATTCCTGTGAAGAGTCACGCAGCGGATTTTAATCCCAAAGCTGTTCGTTTGAGTCCCACATGACACTGCGAGAACAGAAGGCGGAAGCGAAAAAACAAAAACATCGGTCACATGACGGGGATCTGAGTCACGGCTATGACGGACAGGTCCCTCGACCAATGGGCGAGCTCGGAGGGGATGGGTGGGTTCGATGACGGTAAATGAGCCGTTGGTCCGTTTGACAGTTCGGGCCGCGTTCAAATACTGATACACAGCGACCTTATCTGAGTTTGTAAATAGGCTACTTTCAAATAAGGAACCAATGTTTTGATTTATTTACTTACTTCCTTTTTATTATGTTATTATATCATATGTTATATTGTTCCTTCCTCATTATATCCCAGTTATCTCAAAGAGGACTTTATGTATGTTCTTAAAGTATTAAGGGAGTTTACATTTTTCTCTGGAGCATGTCATAATATCCCAGTAAGAAAACAACAAGATTTCTCAGCTGGATAAACAACAAATCAGAATGAGCTTTATTGGCTATGTTTGTGTAAACATATAAGGGATTTGACTTTGGTTAACTTTGCTGTCTATGTACGAGCATTACAAATGAAATGTTGAACTATCAAGCTCATAAAGCATACATAGAACAATAGTTCAGTGGTGAGGAGTGAAAGTATGCTGTAATCATAGACTGTAAATATTAAAGGATGAAGCCTGAGTGACGTCAGACATCTGTTCCTGCAGGGGGCTCTGGAGGCTCATTGGCAGCAGCCGCCACGTTGGAAATGCTGTCTCAGTCTAACTTTCAGTCAAACTAACGACAGGCTGAGAGCTGGAGCTAGGGTTGCCACCCGTCCCGTAAAATACAGAATCGTCCCGTATTTTTCACTTTGATATTGCGTCCCGTTTTCAATCAGTACGGGACGCGGTTTGTCCCGTATTTCCAAGATGCCTTGAACTCAGCATCATTCAGCCGGCTAGTTCCCGCCTCCTCGGAGCGTCCGTTGGTTTGTTTGGTTCTTTTTTGGCATGAGCAATGAGAGCTCGTCAGTGATTGGGTGAGAGAAAGTCAGAAGGAAAGATGTCTGCAGCTGCCTCTCATATCCGCACTGTGCACCATTGAAATGTAAACGGATGCAGAAATACAGACGAGAGTAGAAAGTAATGACTGGCTTGACAGTGTCAGTGAAAATGAATATAATGTAAAGGAAACTATTGTAGGCCTACTTGTTTATAGATAGGTTATTCCAGTATAGTTTGGATAGTGTGAATATTTTTCTTTGCGTAAAACAAAAAGATGACATTTATTTTAGCCAAATCTGTATTCACAGTTTGGCCTGGGCGAGATATCATCAATACAACATCAATATATCGACAGTAGACACTTAATTAATACAATAAGAAAATAGTTCAAAACCATATTAATAGTATCATTCATCATGAGAAAACAACAAAAACGAAAGACAGGAGGACAGAATAAATGAATAAAAATACTATTAAATTTGTACTGTTTATTTAATTAAAAACCTGTCATCTTACTGCTCCCCTCTATGTTACAGCAGTGTCAAAAGCACTTCAATAACACTCTGTTAATGAATTAATGTTAAGTTAATAACTTTATTTGAAGTTTAAGTTAAGTTGTAAATGAAATAGGCCTAACTAGCAGTAATCATCGGCTGAAGTCGTGTTAGGTGCATTTCATTGTGCATACATTACTGTATCTGCCTTTACACTGAAGTTTTGTGTTTTTGTAAATTATTTCATGTTTCATGTTCATAAAGCACTTAAAACTTTAAGTATGACTTCATTAAAACCACGTTTTAAATCATGATTCTCCACAACTGGTGCCCCACCTCACCGTTGGGCCAGTGGTGGCCAGGCCCCTACTGAGTTGCACCTCACTGCGGGGTATCCTTTATTTTTCTGCTTGGAAGGTGGCAACCCTAGCTGGAGCTGAGGCGGGTTTTAAGACTCTTGACAAACCGTTACATGGCGCCCACCTGTCAATCATGTCAGCTACGCGCCTTACTATCAATAACACACTAAACTGGTGGGTTGGGACCCTAGAATGGGACGAGTAGCTATTTTCGACGGGTCGCTAATGTGTGCTAGGACAAAAAACTTGAGTCAAAAAGTAGGCCTAAATCAAGGACATGTTTATCTTCTGCAACATGTTTTGTACCGTCTCAGGTCCAATTAACTGCACTGTTCCTCGTCAAATAATAATTTTATTTAGATTATGTTGAATTGTTGGTTTTATCAAGGCACAAAAGTCTCCTTGGTGGAAGTCCAAGATCCATTCATCACAACAGAACACCACTCAAAGCCCCACGTCATCAGCCATCGTCATGCTGTGTTACCTGTCTTCCAAAAGTGTGTCATGTTGCAAGCACAGTTTGTACAAATACAATCATCTGAAGTCCAGGATTAGAGTCACAAATCGAACAAACAAGTCTATAGATGAGATCCATGTTGTGAATAGGACAAACTTTAATTAAGAACTCGACAGTCTGCGTCTCGGATTTGCTCTCAGACAGTGACGAGCTTACGTAGGTGTTGAGTGTTTTCAGACATCCAACATTCATTGAAGATTGTTGGTGCAAAAGTTCCAGAACAACTCATTGTATCGTAGGCTCCATTTACCATATCGATCTCATAGTGCACACGTTGTCAAAATAAAATTTCAACAACGCCCTTCCTCTCTCTTTATCCGCAGTCTTTGGAGTCAAAGAGTAACCAATTATGTTTTTTAATGTTTTTTTCTTTCTATAATAAAGAGATGCAACCAGAAGCCGTGAAAGCTTATCGCTCATCAGTTTAATCATAGAGATAACAGAGGCAGAGATCTAGGCTAGCTACAGTGAATAATTTAGCGTCAGATATTTCCCTCAGGCGTTGGTGGAAACCAAAAACAGAGCTAAAAGGGAACAAATATTGGACCTATACATCAAGTGGCAACAAAATAAATGTCAAATAACTGCTATATATGCAGTGTTTCTTATATTAATATAATAAGCAGTATATCAATTTTAATTTTTTTAAATGTTCATTTTAAGATTTTCTTCTACTGCCCCCCAGTGGCCAAAACCTAACCTACATTAAAGAACATTGGCAAGGCCATTACACAGACTTGTAAAGGGTAAATTATATTACATTTATATAAAGTTATTTTTACTTTTTACTTTTATTTTGGCTGATTTTGACCGCACAATAAAAACTCTGTTAATTGAGAGCGAGCTTTTTGTGTAGGAGAGCGAGAAGGAAAATACATTCGCTTCTTTTTCCATTCATTTGAGAGCTGATACGTTGTTTTGAAAGCATTCAGAAAAGTATAAAAGAAGCATATCATGTTCACAAAATCCTGTCTCTTTTTCAGGGAATTGTTAGTTATCGTACAAATAAGAAATCTGATAGTTCAAAAAGACCAAACACAAGAACATGACCACAAACTGTTGGTAATAATCACTATTTTGTCAGACTAGTTCCTCATACCACACTGTTTCCTTGTTTAATGTTTGAAATGAATAGATAATTTTCTTAGTGGGAGGGAGGTAGTTAAAAGGAATCCCTGTGAAATTTGAATCACGCGTCAATGTCAGTTCACTTGTCTTTGCACGGGGAGGCTCACGCATTCACAATGCTTTGCTCTCTGCTGTTGTTACTGCTGGTCTGCAGCACCCGGGCGACTCACTTTTACGGGACTGTGATGACCTACTACCCAAAAACCCCTCACACAAACGGATCTATTGAGGTATGTGAAGATTTCTATCTGGTAGAAGTTGCAACCTTTAGAAAAGGTCTTTACATTATTGCTTCGATTAAGGTGAGAAAGTAAGTAAGAATCTCCAAGAACAGCACAAAAAGAGGACTTTATGTATGTTCTTAAAGTATTAAGGGAGTTTACATTTTTCTCTGGAGCATGTCATAATATCCCAGTTATCTCAAGAAAACAACAAGATTTCTCAGCTGGATAAACAACAAATCAGAATGAGCTTTATTGGCTATGTTTGTGTAAACATATAAGGGATTTGACTTTGGTTAACTTTGCTGTCAGCATGACGAGCATTACAAATGAAATGTTGAACTATCAAGCTCATAAAGCATACACAGAACAATAGTTCAGTGGTGAGGAGTAAAAAATGCTGTACTCATAGACTGCAAATATTAAAGGATGAAGCTTGAGTGACGTCAGACACCTGTTCCTGCAGGGGGCGCTGGAGGCTCATCTGCAGCAGCCCCCATGCTGGAAATGCTGTCTCAGTCTAACTTTCAGTCAACCTAATGACAGGCTGAGAGCTGGAGCTGAGGCGGGTTTTAAGCTTCTTGACAAACCATTACATGGCGCCCACCTGTCAATCATGTCAGCTACACGCCTAACTATGGATAACAAGTATCGTTTTCAAAATCAAAACAGAGCCGTTATTTGTACCAGGCTTTAAACATGTCAATTTATAATGCGAAAAAGTATTTTTGCCTGTTGTGTGTATGTGACTTCCTGTGTTCCTGGAGTCAGCCTCTAGTGATGAACTGCAGGATTTTGCACTTCCGCATTGTCTTCATTTTTCAACACTGGATGTGGCTGCTTTACTGTAATAAACAACAAAAATGTAGCAGCTTTCCCCATGTACGCATTCAAATAAACACCCATTTCTAATATCGTTGTATAGCTAAAACAGGTTGTTTTGTCATTTAACACCACAGGTGGTCTTCGCTACAAGCTGAACTTCCACTCTTGCGTTCATTCAGCTCGTGGACCTGCTTCTTAGGGGACTGTGGGACTCAGAGCGTAGAGCTACACAAGGTGGAGGAGAGCAGCGGAGAGTGGTGTCAGAGAGAGGGGGTATGACCCGACAGGTTCCCAGCAACG